AATTCCACAGGTTAGGTTATCTGAAAAGATTAGGTGATTTGGTTGACGGCGTTGACTCATGGTTCATTAATGAACTTTGTTTATGGTTGATGTGGTAAGCTCATAACTTTCATTTCTGTTTTCAGTGGTTTCAACGACTGGTCTGTCCGTTACATTGGAAGGCAAAAACTCTTCAGGTTTAAATACGCTCTCATTTAGGGGGTGAATCCCGGTAACGGAAAAGCTACTGATAATATTTCTTGCAGTAAATGCTCGTAAATAAGCAGAAGCAAGAATTCTTGGATACAACGTAAATTGTCATGGGTTTTCCAGGATTTGATAACATCCACTGAGAGGCAGCAACGTCGCAAAACTTGTTATCGGGTCCAAACAATGTTCTATCAAGTGGTTGTAGTTTGTGTGATGTGTGGGGAGGAAATGTAAGCATGACAGTTCCAAAGGACCTTGTTTCATTTATCGCTTCAATCGATATATGGAGGACGTGATTATCAATAATCATGAGAACAGGATCTTCTTCTGTTGGTTTTACAAACTTGATAAAATGGTCCAAGTATTGAACATAAATGTCATCTGTGGACCCTGTTATACAGTATATGCTCCTCCAACTGATCCTCGAGGAGCACCATTGATCATGTGTTGTTTATAGTTCACAGTAGTTATGGTAGGAGATGTTTTTATGGATAATTGAAATGAAATTGAAAATTTTCATTTAAATGTGAGTTTGATGGTATTTGTGATTGGTGGGGTACATGTGATTGTGCATTGAGAGGTGGGGGTTATTGAAAGAGAAAGAGAGAATGATATAGAGAGAGTGATATTTGTAAAAAGTGCTTTGCAACTAAAGAATATGTAAAGAAACACATAATATTAGTGCACATTTAAGACACACTTTTCACATGTGAACATTGCAAAAAAACCTTTGCAACTAAAGCTACCTTAAAGCGACACATAACAACTCATTCAGGAAATAAAACTAAGGCAATACCAATGCTATAGTTGATGATTATTACAGTATCGATTTTCCTCTGTTATAATTTAAAGCAGTACTATAGCTTACTGGTGTTGCTTACAAAACTCTCTACTGTTTTGTTTTGTTCTTTATAAGGTGTATTGCTATACAATACAGTGTTTGGTCAGGTTTTAGGTGGGTTAGAGTACGCTGTGATTTTAAATTTACAGTCTATAAGATTAGGCAGTGTTGTTAATGCCACGAAGGTAATGGTCATTGGTACTAATTTTTTGTAGCACCAGGAATTGACTACATTTCATTCTAAGAGTCTTTATTACATTGTTGTATTAACTTAAATAAAGTATACCATTCCATGAGTATAGTGAGCTTAGGTAAAGCACAGAAAAATTTCACTGGGTAAAAATATTTTTAGTTACGGGTTTTTAATCTTTGAAAATGAACACAAATAAAGAGTACAATTATTATGCACATATGGTAATGTAAATCGTTTCTAGTTGTTTTTTATAAGTATGTAATTTTTATTCTAATTTTTTATGTACCATACAGAATGCATTATGTAAATTTTCAGGAATATTTTTTAATTTAAATTTAAAACATTTTTCAATGTACTTCCTTTGGATAAATATTAATCATTTGAAATAAAGGTAGGATTCAAATCTTTTTTCAATATGAAGTTTTCTTTAGACTCACAGGCAGGCCTGTTTCTTTTCTGGAGGAAGTATTTATCAACATCATCTCTTATTAAAATGTTAATGCACGCGTATATGAAGACATTTAATTTGTTTACTATAATTATAGTTTAGGGTCCAAGTATTTTAGAAATGAAGTTTTAATTTTTGAAAAGTCTAGCATTCCTTCGGTGAACCATCATGTGCAACATAACGAACTACAAACGTTAGTTGATCCACATTTGCCACATCTGGCGTGGAGTCGACAATAATTGAAAAATACTTTGTCATTTGGATTTCTGTTATGATTTTAGCTTTTACGTGGTCTGCTATAATTGTAACAAATTCATTTACCGTTGTAGAGGATAAGTACGATGGCACTCCCCTGCCTTTGTTTCCGAATCGGGCAACACGATCAGCCATAAAAGTGTCGAATTCGCACAACAGTTCAATACACCCCAAAAAGTTCCCATTTTTGTTTGAACCTATAACTTCGTTTTCGCCATGAAAAGGAAGTCCTCGAGAAGATACAAATTTAACGACTTCTATTATTCTGAGCAACCCATTTTCCCAATATTGCATTTCTTCTTGATACTGCAACATCAGGTGTTTATCAACTCTGTTTGAAATATTACTTTGGGCTAAATATTTGCAAAGACATTCTCTGTGTTCAATGCTGTTGTCGTGGTCATGCACAATGTGAGAGTTTTTCCAGTCATTAAAACCAACACTTCCCAAGGCGGTAGTTCCGCCATTAAGTTTACAAGGAGCACAGTTAACACGACCAGTTGTTTTTGAGTAAACTAGGTAACACCTTTTAACTACTTCTCCATTGACAAGTTTTTTGTAAAATATATTCTTACTTAAAAACCGTTTTTGGTCTGAATATTGCCTAGCAGATTTTGAAAAGTCTACATCGTCATTCTGAGTGATCCCATGTATTGCAATATGTTCACGAAGGTCTTCATTTATTTTCCACAAAGCCGGATCTTCAAAATGTTTTTCAATTTCCTCATTATTGTTATCAATATCAATTACCTTGATATGTTGAGGAGAGTTCTCTTGTAGATGGTCCTCAAACGATTGGAAAAGTGCACCAGGTTCCGAAGTGGACAAGAAGGAAGATGTGGACGCCAACACAGGTGCCACAGCAGGGGGGAAGGCGCCGTCAGTGCCGGTACTGATTCATACTGACTCACTGATACTGACACTTATTAACTGATTCACAGTCGCTTTGTAATGTCGTTTTTGGTTTATTAAAAAACGTATACAGTTTGGGAACTTTGCTCATGATTGTTTCTTCTCGCTCATCAATTTTTTATGATTTATAAATCTATTAGTTTATTTTTTTCTAATTCTCCTAGAGGCCTGATAATAGTTACACTTCTTCTAAATTAAGATATTAATGAAAATTGGATTTAAAATAATTTTAAACTTTACTAAAAACTTAAAAAATGGCAAATATATTTAGAAACACTTTATACTGTTAATCATAATACCATTTTTTTATAATTCAAAACTAAAAATATGTATTTCGTCTTTTGTTCTATCCCTCTACACTTTGTCAAATATGTCAAGTATAAACCACACCCATATTCTCCTACCACGACTCTATCCAAAGTGGTGGAATGGATACGTATAAACCACACTCCTATCCTAACCAGTACAGTGCAGTGTTCAGACTAGTACATTGGTAAGTACCCTTTTCATTTTTATCTTACTCATGTTCAAATCTTTATTATTAAAAAAAGAAAAGATAAAATGAAAAAAAAGATACATTAGATCTTTCAAGACTAAGACCAAGTTAATTCATAGAATTATTAAAGCACTTGTTAACAATATTGAAAATAAAAGTAAACATTTGATTGTTCTTATAAAAATTAAAACAAGTTCTAATCCAAATATAGCTAGAGTGTTCAATATTTTAAATACAAAACATAATCTTCTACCACAATTATATTGTAAATTTAAATCAGTTCTTCGACTTTTAAGAAATTCAAATATTAAACTAAAATATCTAAGGGGAATTACACTGAAATTCAAATTTTTCACTTGTATTCACAAATCTTAAGAATCTATAATGGATAACACCTTATTTGAAAAATTACCAATTGAAATTTTCCATATCATATTTCAAATGCTTCCATTTAGGAAAGTAAATTGATCAAAAATTCATATTTTGGTGGTGTTATCTAAAATACAACAAAATGAATGAATGAATGAATCCTTTTTATTTCATTACAGTACATCATTTACAATGGTACAAACAACAATTACTGAAATGTAATCACCAAATGGGCTAATCTCTGTGGTTGGGGATAGAGTCCATTATCCGCACAATAAAACAATAAATTTAGGCTACTTTTAAAAAGGGAAAAACAACATTATGCCCAGACAAAATTTCAGCAATTTCACAACTGCATATTTACAATTTGAACAAATTGAATCTCCTGAATATTTATGTTAATTTAGAGGAAAGCAGCTATTCTTAGGGTTACTTTTTCAATCTGATATTGCAAAAAATATTGCTGCAACCTACCATTTTAAAACTGAGCAAATCTTCAAACTTTTTAAGGTTAATTCTGGGTTTTTAGTAAGATACATAATACTTACTGAAAAAGAAATATTGTAGAGATCACTAACATATATTATCCTAAACTGAGAAATTTTATCCAGGTAAAATTTTAACCAAAGAATTAATAAATGTTTCAAACGAATTTTTTAGTTCTACTATCTATATACCTATACCTATTTTATAAACCCGTAGCATTGGAACAATATAACATAAAAAAGTTCTCATATGATTCCGTAGGGTACTGCGAGTATTTAAGGTCTTTTAGGCCTTAGATTTACTTAATGTTAACAAACTCAAGACTTGCATATCCATTTTGGAATACAACATGTGTTGGATATTTAAGTACAATATGTAAGGTTTAAAAGGTTTTTATTTGCACATTGCAGGGTATTTTATTTTATATTTCTGTAACCAAACAAACTTCGTAGAAGAGAACTACCAGAAACTAACAAACGAACAGCGAGACGTCTATCACACTGTTCTTTCTGGAGTACATAGCTCAATAGGCCCTAAGATACTTTTCCTTGACGCTCCTGGAGGAACAGGGAAAACATTCCTTACCAACATAATTCTGGCACAAGTAAGAAGTGAACAAAAAATAGCCCTTGCTGTAGCCTCATCAGGGATTGCAGCTACACTACTACCAGGTGGGAGGACTGCTCATTCAATGTTTAAAATCCCTCTTCATGTCGATCACACTGAATTTCCAGTTTGCTCTGTTTCAAGGAACTCCCCAATGGCTCGAGTACTTCAAGATTGTTCAATAATTGTATGGGACGAATGCACCATGGCCCACAAAGCTGCCATTGAAGCATTGGACCGTACATTGAAAGACATTAGAAACAGCCCAACTACCATGGGGGGAGTAACTGTGATGTTTTCTGGCGACTTCAGACAAACTCTGCCTGTTGTGGTGCGGGGAACGAGGGCTGATGATATCAATGCATCTCTGAAGCGATCCACATTGTGGCCAACCGTTGAACGCCTCTCACTGACATTGAATATGAGAGCTGTTTCTATTGACCAACAACGAGATGAGGAATTCTCAGAAATTCTAATAAAGCTTGGAGACGGAACTTTAGATAATATAAATGGTATAATAACGATCCCCCCTTCACTTGGTGTTGTTGTCAGCTCACAAGATGAACTGATAACCAATGTCTTTCCAGGTGTTCATGACTTACTTAAGATGGAGAGTGCATGGCTCTGTGATCGTACGATTCTCTCTCCCAAAAACGACCAAGCAAAACAGATAAACATGAAGGTGATGGCTCTCTTCCACAGCGAAGAACGCACGTATACATCTGTGAACACCGTCCTGAGAGAAGACGATGCTGTAAACTACCCGGCAGTTTCTCGACTCAGTTTCAGCACCCGGCTTGCCTGACCATGAACTCACTCTGAAGGTTGGAGCTCCAGTGATGCTGCTGAGAAACTTACATCCACCTAAACTGTGTAATGGAACGCGTCTCCGTATCCGCAGTCTTCATCGAAACATCATTGAAGCAGAGATTCTCACGGGTTGTGGGGCTGGGGAATTGGTATTCATCCCAAGAATTCCACTAATTCCTAGCAACTACCCGTTTGAGTTCAAGCGGATACAGTTCCCTGTCACAGTTTGTTTCGCCATGTCCATTAATAAGTCGCAAGGCCAGACGTTGTCCACAGCCGGGGTGGAACTGAGCGGATCAGCATGCTTCTCTCACGGACAATTGTACGTTAGGGTGGAATGAAGTTATATGGCAATTTTTTTTTTCATCAGAAAACTTTCTAATATCACTTAAAAGTTGCACCTTAATGTAACAAATAACACAACAAAATTTCATTGTTTTGTGTTTATGTCTTGAGGTGCCGCAAAAGCCTTGAAAATTTGAATTTTTTAAAAATATTCTGGTATTTTCATAAAACTCAAGAATTATTTTTTGTCACCAATTTCATGTCACTATATTTTTAAGTTGAAGACAAATTAGTTATTATAAATCAAAAATTATTAAAAGTAAGCTTAGTAGGTACTATACTTGTAAAATTAATTTCCAAAAAAGTCAAATAAAAGAGAATTTAAAGCGAATTTCCAAATAAAACTTTTCAGTTATAACACATCTATTATGTTGGTATATTGCCTTATTATTATTTCTATCTATGTACAATATTTTTATCACTAATAGCTTTTATGTATACTAAAATTAAAAACCATGATCTAAGAAGAGTAATTAAAACATAAATATACAAAAATATAGGTTCAGTTGTTCTTTCGGAAAGAAAATTGAGGTAGGGCGTCGGATTCTCAAGAGAATAGAACAATATGTTGTTTAAAATCTAGTATATTCTATGTAAAGATACATAAAAGTAACTTCATGTCAGTGATAGTCCTTATGTTTTTTGAAAATTAAACAAAATGTTTTTTGTCTCAAATTTTGGCATTATCCTGTGTGATTCAATCCTGGCTTTGACAAATCCATTTCTTGCTTCATCACCACACACACTAAGTGCAGACTCCGTTACAAGCTTTATTACTCTTTCAACTGCTTGAGTGTGGCAGGGAAAACGAGGAAAATCTACTGATTGATTTTGGAAACCATCTTTTCTTGAATTGTCAATGAATTCTTTCAATGCTTCATCTGTTATGTGTTTTGTCATCGGTGGCTCTGTTATGGTTATATCTACCCAATTAATCAAATCAATAAAATCTTCTGCCTGGAAATTGATGTTTGGGATTACAAACTTCCTTACTGCATTTCTGTTTTCAGATCTTGCCTTTAAAAGCCTCCGAAGACCTAGCTCTCTCACGTGCTTTCGTTCATCACTTAACATGCAGATCAGCAGGTTTTCAGGATGAGCGTAATAGCCATTTCTTTGAATTACTGGATCAATTACTTTTATATGATCATCGTTAAGGTAGCGTGACAATTTAATCAGGTGCCATAAATGTTTTGAGCCATTTACACATGAAGGTTTCAGTTTTATATGAAACCAGACTGGGGCATAGACCTTCACAACATATTCGGTCAAGGATTTCAGATTGTCAGATGGATTCTCCGTTCCAACGTATAATCGTAGTATTCGACTTGCTAATGTTAGCCATCGTGAATGTGCTAACTTTCCATTGGCTTTAGAAGGTCTTGTGAACATTCACCACTAGAAATTGCGTGACACCAAATACTTTTGGTCTGTACTTAAATCTTGTTTGATTACAAGATCCGGGAGATTGTGCTGTATTGGAGAAAATCTAACAACTGGAAGATCATAACATTTTTCTAGCTGCTTTCCTATAACACCTTCAAATTCATTAGGGCCTGTTGTTTTCCCATCTAATGCACAAAACAAATGGCGCAAAGGCAATTCATTGCCATGGAACAAGCAAATCAGCCACTGCAGTGGCTTATTTAGAGATTTTTCCATCAAAGCAAGTACACCATTGTTTACTCCTGTGTTAGTGGCTGTTCCATCACATCCCATTGCAGTTAAGTTAGATATATTTAAACTACTGTTGCTATTAAAATACTCTGTGATGCTATCTTTAATAGCTTCGCCTGTTCCAGAAGAAGGTGTGACATGTCCTAGATAAGATGAACCAGGTTCTTCTACTAAAGCAATATGCTCTTCAACGATAGTTTTCTTATAAAATTTGTTTCCCTTCTTTTCTTGCATAATTGTTTTATCTTTTTTTCCATCAAAAAATAATCCCTTGTTTTCTTTAACTTGGTTAAAACTACTCACAGTTACTTTTTTTCGGTTCTTGGCCCTTGCTCTTCGAATTTTCATTCTATCAATTACTTTACTTTTATCGGCGTTTGTAATCATCCCAACATCTTTTAAAACTGCACTGGCAATAGCAGCAGCAACTCTGTCTGATACTCCTGTTCTGTCACAGATTGACGCAACTGTTGGTAATTCCACACGCATTTGCTCGCTTATAGGTGAAACCCGAGAGGAAGTGGAGGGTAGGTCTTCTGTGTTATTAGTAGATGCTAAGTCGTCATCCCAACTTTGATCGGTATCAGAATCATTACTAATATTTACAGTTTCACTACTAATGCCTGCTGATTGTTCACAATGCTTCAACTCTTGCTGCATTGTTCTATGCTTTCGTTCTTCTCTTCGATTTAAAACATTTGAGATAGCTTTGTCTATGTTACTTATAGTCATTTTTCTTGTTGTTCTTTGGTCGGTTAAAAACTCTTGCTCTACTTTAGGTACTTTTTTTTCTTTAGGGCATTTACAATCTGAAAAAGCCTTGCATTTACATGCAGCGACATCAAAAAGGCGTTTACTTTCATTTAAAAATGAAGTCACAGTGGAATCGTAGCTCTCTGTACCCTTTCTACCCTTCGATCTTAATAGATTTCTATATTTATCATGATAAGATTTCCCCATTTGTATCATACGGGTTTTGAAACTACGGGTATTGACGCCTTACACCAAATATTTATGACTTTCTCCATAACAATATCTAGTATTTCACTCACCGTTGGTTCCTTTGACGTTACTTCTGGCTTTAGTTCATTTCTTATAAACAAGTAATACTTCATAATGTCACAATACGTTGGTAAACATAACTCACTCAACTGTTTAGAATGGCCAAATATCTGACATTCCAACTGAAGTCTAGTCTTGAATGGTTTTGACAAGGCCATTACACTCAAATCTCACTTGTAATAATACGAAAATCAAATCATTCAATACTTAAGAAGTAAAACTACAAGTCACATTTGAAATAATCGTTCAAAACACTACAGTGATACACTTTATCAACACAAGGTAACCACACTTGTTATCCAATCACTCGACCTGAGCTTACTGACACTGACAGCTAGAGTTTTTGGCAGCCAGACTTTCATGTTGAAACATGATTCCCCCTCCCCTTTCCCCACCACTCTAGTTTTTAGCCACAGTGTTCTAATGCCTATTACTCTTCTTACTTATTCCATGTGTGATATAGTTTTGCAAAGCTATAATATTGTTTTAAGATGTTGTACTCTTAGATATCTTATAATGCATTCCTCATTATTGTTTTGTAGGCCTATAGGTGGGATTTGATTTTTTTCTGCATGTAAATATGTTTAGTTTTTAGGGCAAAATAAGAGCAAAAACAGTTAGTTTTACTTATAAAGGCTTTCACATAAGTAGTAAAACTAAAAAAATTGACAAAAAATGCATATTTTTAGCAGCTTTGCGGCACCTCTAAATATATTTTTAATTTAACCAAATTTTTACAGTGTCTTTTTGAAGCCATTTGGCAACTTTTAATCACTATTACATTTCAAAATTTAAAAAAATGATTTTTCATTCCACCCTATTGTACGTGGCGTGTTCCAGAGTGAGATCGAGCAGAAGCCTATTTATTCATGCTCCGGGTGGCAAGACTGAAAACATAGTGTATAAGGAGGCACTAACATAAGTCTAAAATGTTATATTGTGTTTGTTTTTAATACGCCTTACTTATAATTACGTTCCTTTTTGATTTATACATTTTTGAAACTATTCTACATGTAAAAAGTTCAGATTATCAAACTAAAAATTTCCACAGTTACAATTTACGAAACACCAGGCATGTAGAACAACACAGATTGAAGTTATTGAAGTTATTCGAGAAAAAAACCAGTTTCATTGGCAAAAAATTTTTATTTAGCCTACCCAAAAATATTTTCAATGAACATGATTACAGTAGCTTTAAAAAACTACTGAAAAACTATTTGCAATCTAAATCATTATATTCAATAGAAGAGTTTTGGAATTTAAATGATTAGAAATATGTTATGTTATGATTTATGTTTGTAATCTATTATTTAGGATACTTGTATACCTAATTTTTTGCTTCTCTTTTCCTTTCTGTGACGCAGTTCATGTATTTGCTGTAAAATACTTGATGAATAAAGATGATTTGTATTGTATTGTATTGTCCTTATTGTTATAACTCTTTATTTTTGTTTTTACTTTAAATTAAATGCTTGAATTTATACTTGAGTTAATAAGAGTCCTGATTGTATTTTATTTTACTGTATATTGTATTCAACCCGTACGAAGAACGGGTACACAGCTAGTTAGAAATATAATTATTATGAAATAAAAAAAACATTTGTGTATAGTTTGTATTTATGATAGAATAAGACTCCTTTACAAGCCAATTTTTTGTATAAATTGGCTAGTAGAAGTAGACTATACTTCTTCATCACCTGTAACAAAATGAGAAATATAAATATTGTGAATTGGAAAAAATATACTTAAAGTATATAGTTTATATTTATGGTAAAATAAGACCACCTACTGTGCTGTTTGTTATTTTTATAATTGTTATTATACGTTGCATATTTGTTGTTTGTTTTGAATATATTGTTGTTTTAAACTTGTTGATTTACTTGCTAATAAAGTATCTGTGTTTAACTGGGGTGTGAGTTTTACCTTTCACTTTATGGTGTCAGGTTAAATAAGCTTTTGTGGAGAAAGAGTAACACAGGGACTTAAGAATGACTGAAGCAGTGAGAAGTACAGTTAGTATAGTTCAATACCAACTTGTTATACCTAAACCTTTAAATTTCAGGGAACCTTCTGAATGATATACTTCTATACTCTCTAGGAGATGAAGGAGAAGATCTTCTAATATCTTTTGGATTAAAAGATGAAGAATTACAGAGTAATGAAGGGTAGATTTGAGTCCTGTTGGGGTGGGATTTTCATTCTTAAAATGTTCATTTAGAAAAGGAAACCATAGGGGCCTAACTTCTATGCTGCTTTG